CGATAGAGACTCAGACCGCGACAGCCTCTTAAACTCTGATCTCGATCGGCTAAAAGCAAGGCTTCGAGTCAAAATGCAACAGCTGAAAGGAGACTCCCACCAGAGCCGAGTCGCGAGCACGGATTATACCAAGAGCGAAAGTGATCGTGAAGATCCAGCAAATACGAGCATCAACGACAAGTCGGCTGACAGCGGCAGCGCTGATGCACTTTTTCTAGATGAAGACTCATCCAGAGCCAGTAAGAAAGCGCTACACCAGCAAGCAGTGTCTTTCGCTTCCTTTCTTCTCTCTCCGTCAAAAGATCACGCAACGCGAGTACGGACCTTGAGAGATCTCACCTGGGTCGTCACAGCCACGATGTCAGAGGTGAATATGTCGCATTTTCTACTCTTTTTCCTGCAAATCCTCTCTGATGCACCGATTCGAATAGGATATGAAAAGTTGGAGCATCTCTTCGTATGGATTTCAGGGGGCACGTCGGATGGCTGTTTCACGGGGCCAGAAAAGCCGGTTTGGAACCGGTGGCGGGCCGAATACTACGATTTCCTATTATGCGCTGATAGAAATAGATTCTCGATATTCATATTTATATATATATAAGTACTAGTACTTTTTAGACTCATACTCATTCGTATTTCGTTTGCCAAAGCTACAAGGAAAGAGTCTTGCTTCGGAAGTTTCCTCACCTGGTAGAAGAACTCCGGAAATATTTTCCACAACAACGTGATTAAGTGACTCCCTGACGATCAAGTATCGCGGGGCTGCTCTGCTCCAATCTCGCAGCTGATTGCAGAGAACGTTGTCCTTCTCTACAGTTTCGACCAGGTGGCAGTGTTTCAAAGCCCGTGCAACGAGCAGGCGAAGGTCGCGCGAAAAGTGCTGGTGGAGCGCGTCCCGGCTGACGAGTGGGATTGGCGAGAAGCAAACTGGGTCCGTGTCATGCTCCGCGACCTCATCAGCCGGTCTCCAGAAAACTTGGTGTTGTCTACCTTCGCAAGTGCGTCTGAACAAGAGACTGCGAGTCAGAAAACCACGCCTGGAGAACATCGAAGTCCTATCTTATTGCCTACTTCTAGGAGCGGTCGCGGTGGAGGGGGTGGCGGAGGCGGAGGCGGTGCTAGTACGCCTCGGTCGCCAGGTCGTAGCGGGGGTGCCCCTATCACTGAAGCTTTTTTAGCACGCTTGCTGGAGACCGACAGTAAGCTTTTCGGAGTTCTTTTGCGTGGCTCATTCAGCGCAGTAAGTGGTCTCAAAAGTAGTAAGAATGCTCCTGCGACTAGTGATATCAACAGAGGAGGCGAGCAAGGACATCTTCAGAGGCATCTGATTCAGCATGATGCTCCACCGGATCCGCGCTTCACAGGCTGTTTCAAGCAGGCGTTTATCGGGCAGCACGAAAAGATCCGTGTCCACAGCCTACAACATGAACAACGATCGAAGCT